TCCCATTCGTCGATCTTTGTGATATCACAAATCCCGGAAAATATGTGTTGTAGTCCAAACGAGTCGTTCGTTGTAGTTTTTGAAAAGTGATTTCTGTTAAATAAAATATCTCCTTTTGTATTGGACTTTGAGCTTTGTAACTTTGCAGATCCTTTTTTATGCTCAAACAGCAACATTACAGACTAACTAAAGTTGAAAAAGTGAAAAAGCATAATAGGACCCCGTTAAAAAAAAACGCTTATGTAAATTCTGTACTAAATGCATATAGGCAATAGGTGAAAATTAAACATCATGGTGCTGCTCTTTCTGTAACACCCATCCTTATGTCTCTCTCTAAAGTCCATTAAAGTTCAGATCCGGCAGGATCTGGCCATGGATGTCTCTGCCACTGGCTGTGCCATGGACTGCTCTTTATGCCCACTGCCCCCTCAGGCTGAGACCCCTACCGTACCAGGACAGAAACCTCAGGGCAGCAGCACCCAGCCTCAGGTAGAGATCAAGAACCGAACACTAGTCTTCCCTCCCACCGCCTCTGGAGAGTCATCAGGTAAGGATAGAACCTGTCATCTACTATCATTATCGCAATCACTTTCATTACTTTGATTAGAGACAAAAACTTTCAATAGGATTCTGAAATCTTGGCCTATTAAAATGTATGAAAGGAAGACAATTTTTTTCCTTGTGCAGAATGTTTTCTGGAGGTGGAGAATCATGGAGAGGAGGTCAGATGGTACCTCTCTTCGTTTGCTCCTCCATATGTGAAGGTGTGTGACGTTGGCAATTATGTAAGAATTTTGAACGCTTTCATTCTGGAGTAATTCATTGATTTTGATCGTGCTGTTGTCTGTTGGATCAGGGAGTCGATAGCAGTGGAGATGTTTATCGTGCCACATACTCTGCCTTCAGATGTGAGAAGGTATCTGGGACTCTGGGGATTCAAGAGAGGATGAAGGTAGGAGGGTGGAAGTGTCAAACTTCATCTAGTCTCTGACAAATCTAATTATTTATATTATTATTATTATTTAAACTGATCTAACTGTTTTTGTTTGTTTGTTTTTGTTAAAAGGTTCCAATCACTTTCCTTCCACGTGATCGGGGAGATTATGCCCAGTTTTGGGATTTGGAATGCCACCCAGCGGCCAAACCTCAACACAAGAGCCGTGCTCGCTTCCAGTTGTGCGGCACTGCAAGTCTAATGAATGCAGATTTCTGCAGTTGTTTTTTTTTGTTTGTTTGTTTTTTTTGTGTGTGTGTTTTATAGTTGGACTAAACTAATGAAACTCCCAATGAATTTGCCTGCTAAAAGCATTGGCTATTAGCTAAAAAGTGCCTTTTCGGTCATAAATTACTCAAAGCAAGAAGGAAAAGGAAACTAATGCAGAAGGAGTAATGCTTATTGGGAATGGTAGTACTTGCCTGTTGAGTGTATAAATTCATGTGTGCAGGGCTTAAGAGCAGGAGAAGCATGCAGTGTTAAAGAAAATTACTCATTGGTGAAAACAGAAGCCACTGTGAAGAACAGGAAGAGACTGGATTCTGCAGGCTCAAAGACTGGGTAAGGGTTGTATTCCTGTTAGAAATCTGACCTATAGAGAAAGTTTTTTTTTTTTTCTCTCTCTCTTCTAAAATGTCATAGAGCATATTTTGCTGTTTATCTCTAATTCATTCAGATCTTCAACTGAGACCCAAAAGAGAGGTGTGTATGCACCCCAAAGTCTGTACACATTTCCTGCCACACGAGTGGGTGCCACCAGCACACTGAAGGTTAACTTCAGAAATAACTCCTCCAACACACATGAGGTGAGAATGTAGGGCTGCACTAATCACAACACACTAAATGAACATCAAAGTCAGATGACATTTGTAAAGTGGCTAACAACTAATCAGTGTCACTTTACAGTTGTTTAAAGTAGGTTTTTATGTGAAAAATGCATATTAAAACAATAGTTCACCCATAAATGAAAATGTGCTGAAAATTGACTCCAAAATGTAGATGAGTTTGTTTCTTCATCGGAACAGATTTGGAGAAATTTAGCATGACATCACTTGCACACCAATGGATCCTCTGCAGTGAATGGGTGCCGTCAGAATGAGAGTCCAAACAGCTGATTCACAGTAATGTAGTGTTCCTGGTAAAATCATCATTTATAAGTATCTAACTTCAAACAAGTCCTCAGTATTATTGATTTATCCAGTAAAAAAGTCATTTCGTCTGATTCAGGAGAGAAATATGCAGAGATCAAGCAGTTGACACGTGAAAACAGTCCAAAACTGATGTAAACACAGTTGGTGGATTTTGATTTGAGAGGACAACCGGGGATGGACTTTTTCACTGGAGCAAGTTTTATTATTGAATAAGTACTGGTATTTTGAACGTTAATTGATTGACTGGAGTCGTGTGCATTATTGTGACGTTTTTATCAGCTGTTTGAACTTCTCATTCTGACGGCACCCATTCACTGCAGAGGATCTATTAGTGACGAAGTGATGTAAAGCTAAATTTCTCCATCTAATCTGATGGAGAAACTAATTTATCTACATCTTGGATGGCCTGAGGGTGAGGACATTTTCAAGAAATTTCCATTTTTGGGTGAGTTCACAGAGCAACCATTTAAATATAAAATACATTCAAGTCTAACAGATTCAGTCATTAAATGGTCATTGCATGTTGATGTGTGCAGTGTTGTTACTGCTGCTCCTAAATGTCTGGCATGAAACCTAAATTTGAGGTTTTCTAATTGACTTGCAGCTAAAATTCATAAGTCCTAAAGAGCCTTTCCACATCAAGCATTCAAATTATTCTCTAAGGTGAGTTACATTCTCTCTTGCTTACACTTTTTGTAGTAGTAGAAAGTCTGAAGTGGTAGTAGAAAGTACTAAAAAATGTTTGCACAAGCCAATTTAAGAAAAAAATGGCAAGTAGAGAGATTTTATTGAAGCATTCCATGTCACTTCCTGCTGCCAGTGCCTGATGTGAAGGCTCTGATACAGAGCTCAGCCACAGGTCAGCTTTTTGTGTGTGTGTGTGTGTGTGTGTGTGTGTGTGTGTGGTTTGTAGCACTATATGCATTTTACTGCATGTATTTGTGTACTAAATATGTGTGGTATTACAAATCATTTTTTAATTTGACTTTAATTTTAAACTGCCAAACTACTTCCAATATTTTATTCATATTATACTAGTTGGCTACAGGTTGTGAAACCATCTGTTTTTGCAGGTTCTTGTATTAATGTGAAATTCACTTTATTACCATTCACTTTTTTGTTGCTCTATAGCATTACAAGGTAGTTTGGTTTACTATATCTACATTTTATTGCCATTGATCTTTTTTTTTTTTTTTCCCCATGTGCCTTACTAGATCACAACACTACATCAACCTCCCTGTTCAGTTCGTGCCGGCCGCTGCGGGCCAGTTTTCCGGCACGCTGCTCGTACAGACGGACACAGATGCTAAACTGGCCATAGAGCTCAGTGGAGAAGCCTTGCCATAAAGACCTGCTCCCCGCCAGCAGAGGACACTGCAAGACGAAGCTAATAATGAACTTTTTTCGTCTAAATGCTTCGCAAAAGAATGTTTAACTTTGTGTTTTCCACTACCCTTTAGATTGTTGACAGCTGTCATCGTATAGTTACGGCCTTTTGGATAAGCACTGTACAATATGGATATTATATATCCAGAATCACAATTTTGTCATCATTTTTGGTATTTTGCCACAGATTATCACCTTTGTATCACTGACGTAAAGTCTATCAGTTTTTCTCTCATTTTCTAGGATTTGTTATCTTTTGTTCACCCGTTGATAGAAATGTTATCACATAATGAAGCTGGACGAATATTTTAAAGATAGATCTGCATCACCATTAGTTGAAAATTTCACCTTTTTTTTGGTGCGTGTGTGTGTCCTGTGTATTTATTTTGAATCAATTCTTGATAAATAAAAATTCTTAATTGTATTTATTGGTAAGTTGTCTTTGTCTTCCACTAATGTGTATCCTACCTTTACTATTGAATTCATGTCCTTTTTTATTCCAAATGAAAATTATCTTTGTTCTTGATCATTTTATTAGGCAGTCAACATTTTTAAAACACCAGTTTCATAATCCATTCATTTTTTGCTTTCAAGACATTAGGTTTTATAATTTTATCTGTTAGAACTGTATTTTTTTCATTAAAAGAGGAAAAATACTTTAAAACCCATATTAAATATATCCATATGTCCATAGATATACATGTCTAAGGCCAGAATTCATGTTCAAACACGGTTATGTTATCATTTGATTATATTCATGCTCTAGTTTACACAGGCAATCATTTTGTGCAATTCTTCCTAACGTTTTCATACAAAATGATCAGATGTCTGGAATACGTGATCCATTTAACAGACTGTACATCCTTCTTTTCAACCAAACGACCAAACAGGTAATGAAGCAAGGAAAGTTAGCTCAGTAGGATTTTCAATATGAAGACGCTTTTAGTCCATGATGGGATGTGTTTAACATTTCAAGTGTGCTGTCTGAAGAGGAGGGTGAGGAGGAGCAGTGGTAGGAGCAGCAGCCATCGGTGCAGTGTGACACTAGCAGCTCCGCTGTAGTTGCACAGGTAACTGTTACAGCACGTCACCTGCACGCCATTTCCATTACTGTCCACAGAGGCAACGGCGGCAGCGCTTGTGCAGATTTTCGAATAGGAGCACGTCTTGGCAATGGCAGTAAAACCTCCTAAAAAGACAAAATTCAAAGTTTGTCTAGTTCTCCATCTGCTATATTGAGTAGTTTTATGACTGATGCAGCAGCAGCTCTTCGGGAGCTGAATATCTGACCTTGTGATGTTATAAAAAGGCTCACACATGCGAATATCAGTTGTCATTCTGTTTTATTAGGTAAACCTCTTTATTTTACTTTCAAAGGAACGTGACTGAGATTCTGCGGTTTTTATGTTGCCGTTAGCATTGTAATCAAAAATATTATAAGGCCTACTGAGTACACAAATTTATAAGGCCTCTAAATGATCAACATGATCAAAACTTTGCTGAAACACCTGTTATATGCCATCTACTACATGTTTTCTAATTGATAGTTGATACTTTTTCATTAGGTAAAAAGTATTATAGCCTAAGTATTGCCCCCCACAATAAAAAAATAAAATAAAAAATCATCTTACTAAGAAATATTATTGTGAGATATAGATCGACAGCTGATATTTATATGCATTTTGTCTAGGTAGTCTACTATACCGTCACAAAAATATCACTGATTTACATTACAAGCTATATCTTCCAAGCTTTATAATGGCAGTGAATGGTGGTTGAGATTTTGAAGCAAAATAAAGTGCATCCATCCATCATAAAAAGTACTCTACATGGCTCCAGGGATTAATAAAGGCCTCCTGAAGTGAAGCGACGTGTTTGTGTAAGAAAAATATCCATGTTTAAAACTTTATAAACTGTAATCTCTAGTTTAGGACGTAGGCGTAGCTTAAGCTCTGTTGAGAATATGCTAGTCTTGCGAGAACCAAGTTTTGTTTACACCAAAGGAAAACCAGTGTCCTCTTGGATTATATCGAAATCCTCTGACATTTTACTTTATAAATCATTTTGTACTTGTAATTCATGACCGGTGTTTTGTTTTGCTCTCTCCTTTGCGTTTCCGTGTTCGTCACTTCTCACCGGTGCATATGCTACATCCTTCGTAATCCGCCGGAACGCCACTCTCTCGTGAATATGCGTACGGAGGACAGTTTTTTGAACCTAGAAGAGTACAAGGCTGGCTGTGCACAAACTGTCCGACTTTGCTAAGACAATCTGGCGCTTCTGAATCAGCGACTTTAAGTAAGTTTTGTTATTAGTTTATTACACAAAATAATGATCTTTAAAATAGCACCATATGACCCCTTTAACAGAAGTGATTACAGTTTATAAAGTTTTAAATATCGATATTTTTCTTTAAAAAAAAAAACGCCTCGCTTCACTTCAGAAGTCCTTGTGGAGTACTTTTATGATAGATGGATGCACGCACTTTATTGGACTTCTATTGGACTACTGAATATCAACACCCATTCACTGCCATTATAAAGCTTGGAAGAGCCAGGACATTTCTTTCAGATGAACTCTGATTGTATTTGTCTGAAACAAGAAAGTCATATACACCTAGGATGGCTTGAGGGTGAGTTAAACATGGGGTAGTTTTCATTTTTGGGTAAACTATCCCTTTAACTGTTCTGAATTCATGTGAAAGAGAGTGGCTGAACTAGACTTATAAAACCGATCATTCCAGTCCTGATAATATCCACTAAATTGCACCCATGACGTGAAACTGTTCAACCAACCATGCAGAACTCCCATAGCTGATCATTATTTATGTTGCATAGCATCAACTGTTTTAAATGAGACTCTAATGGTAAGATTAGAGTTAATCACTGATAGATTTGATCTCTATATATTATTGAACAGTGGTTGTAATGTAAAAATAAAAATTCTGTCAGTACTGATGACTGAGCTTAACTTTTATTGAACCCAGGATATGCCTTTAAAATATTAAAGGTATAGTTCACCCAAAAAATGTGTTTCTTTCTGTTGAACACAAAAGAAGATATTTTGAAAAAGTTAGGAAACAAACAGTTGCCTGTAGCTATTGACTTTCACAGTATGAAAATGGTTTCGTAACAAACATTCTTCAGAATATCTTCGTTTGTGTTCAACAGAAGAAAAAAAAAACTCATACAGGCTTGGAACAACATGAGGGTAAATGATGACAGAACTTTCATTTTTGGGTGAACTTTTTAATATTTTAAAGGCATATTCCAGGTTCAATAAACACTGAGCATTTTGTGATTAATAGTAAATAGTAAAATATGTATTAACATAAAAGCGATCAGCATTTGTGCTTATGATAAACATCAATGCCATGTTCTGACATGATCTGTATGTCTTCATATGTTGTTGGTTTCTGAAGACGTTGAATAGGCTATTATAGCAGAGACCGAAACTAAGGTCAGCAGATATATGATTTTTATTCAATATATTATTCTTAATGATAACTTTCATTGCTGTATGCTACGTTTTGATGTAGCAATAATAATAATAAATGAAAAAAAAAAAGATTTCTAATGTTTTTTCAATGCAGACACAGATTTGTTATATAGACAAAGTTTTTTTTTTTTTTTAAATGCTCAAAATAAAATGCAATAGCTCATTTTACAATACAGAGATATTTCCCCTCTAAAATGCTACTTCAGTGAGGCCTGTATAACAAAGCATATTAATGCACACATAAGACGTATACATGAATTTCCCCATATCAGTACTGAGCTGCTTTAATGTCAAAGGCATCTGCTCACCTTGTGTGCCTACAGTGGTCATGCAGGTGTCCAGAGGAGCCTGGCAGTCCTGAAGGTTTTTGTTACATTCTTGATTTGATGTTGCAGAGCCACACACGTAACACTTCAGCGCATTGACTGCAAAAGAAAAAATATGGAAAGGAAATATGTGAATTGATGTCATTTATATTGAATGTAATAATATTTATGATGCAATCGAACAAGCAGATAATTCAAAATGATTGAAATTCACAATAGAGCACACTGTATTCTAAAATGTCACCATACTTGAAACTGTCAGTGCTGGAAAATAATGGTGTTTACACAACACACATTACAAGTCGGTTAAAAATTAACAGTCACTTACAAAGTCATGGAAAGGGTTAGAAAATAGCACATAACCCAAATAAATATTGCACTGTTTAGAAGTTTGGGGTTAGGTTATTTATTTCTTTTCTGTTTTATTTTGTTCAGCAGTGATGCATTAAATTGATCAAAAGTGAGAGGTAATTTATCATGTTACAAAAAATGTCTGTTTCAAATAAATGCTGCATTTATCAAAGTATCAACAACAACAAAAAAAGAATATTAGAATGATTTCTGAAGGATCATTTGACAAGACTGCAGTAATGATGCTGAAAATGTAGCTTTTTCATCACAAGGATAAAAAACTTTTTAAAAACAAATTTAAATAGGAAATAGTTGTTTTAAACTATAATTACATTTCACAATATTCTGTACTTTTTATTCATTTCACACAGCCTCGTGAAGCATATAACATTAAATAATTCCCAAACTTTTGAATGGTGTATATATAGTGTATATATAAACTCAAATATATATACATTTACAATTTCAATTACATAAGTAATGTAAATATGTATGCATTTCGACCAGATCTTATCACTCTTACCAGAAATAGCGATTGAATTGTGTCACCCTAAAAATGTGAGAACTGCTGTTTCAAACTAGATTACAAACAACTAACATGGAAGCATGTTAACAATCCAAAAATGTATGAGCGCAATTGAAGCAAGTGAATCAGAAGCCATACCTGAGTGTACAGTTAGAAGTAAAAAGAGCAGACTAGAAAGAGTCCCCATGCTGCTGAAGCGCTGACTGACTGCATGTGTCGGAGAGAGCATTCACTGAAATGTTCACAGACTGAAACTCTCTGTCGTCTCAAAGATCCACCCAGCAGACATTCTTTCACTGCTCCTGTGAAAAGACAAATGAAAGAAGGCACACACCAGCACAACTGGCATTCCCTCATACATTTGGACTGGTGTCACAATGTGCCTATCACATTCTAACATGATGACGATTAGATGTACATTTTACAGACACAGAGCAGTTTGTATGTAGCTATGTCACACCCTTCTTGTGTGTTTTACAACTGAGACATACTGTAAGATAAAAATTCAGACTAATCTTGACTGACCCGACTGAGAAAATCAGTGTCACTTTTATTCATTTCAACAAAAAAAGGTCATAATTAAGGCTTGTATTACTAGGTAAAAAATATTTACACTCTAACTTGAGTTTTGTTTATCTGATGAGACAGTCATACTCCTATTAAGTTCCTTCCTCCCTCCTGAGTCCAGACTGACAGGTCCGACTGCTTCCACTAATGGGTGAAACTATCACAAGCAAGGATATAATCACTTCCTGTTTTGTCTCTGAGCTTTTTTCAGGTTTTGTTTAATGGCAACAAGGCGACAAATCCAGAAGAAAAGAATTCTAGGTAACACTTTACAACAAGTTTCATTAGTGAACAACTTTAGTTAACATGAACAATATCTCTACAGCATTTATTAATCTTAGAGTTAATTTCAACATTTACTAATGCATGATTAAAATCAAAAGTCGTGCTTGTTAACATCAGTTAACGCACTGTGAATTAACATGAACTAACAATAAACGATAATGCATTTTATTAACTAACATTAACAAAGATGAATAAATACATTGTTCATTGTTTGTTCATGCTAGTTAATACTAACATTAACTATTGTAAAGTGTTACCGGATTCTATTGTCAGACTTTAATTAAAACATGTTTTAGAAGACAAATGAAACCTAGATATAGTCAAACAGACATGTATTTGATATTTATTCCATTGAAAACTATAATTTCATAAATAATGCACATGACAAAATACTACTCTTAAAACATTCTGAATAAATACTGTACTGAAGCTTGCTATTTCAGCTTCTCAAATTCATTTGCTGTTGTATCCGCAGGCACTCGTGTCAGAATCATCTGCGTCGCGGTTCAAATGAAAACCAAGATAAATGCAAAGCAGCAAACTCAAAGTGTGTTTTCGAAATTGGCACAAAGTTCATTTCTCTTCAAAACAACTAGTGGGCGCTATTCTGGATGTTTGAAAACAGTAGTGTCGATGCGGTAATCACAGGCATTGCCATTGCTGTCATTCGTTCAGAGGTTATAAAAGCACAGGTGGGTGTTGCTGTAGTTTCCTTCAGAGCTTACGTCACTTTTTAATTGTTGGTAGGATTGGCCTGAGTGACTATTACACACGGGTTTAGTCTAAAGCAGGTGTGCGCTGCTAAGCTACAATACATTTTCATTTAATTGTACATAACATGCATTTAAGTATCCGGAAACATTACATTCAGTTTGCACTTAAGTATATTCTTCTAAAGTACCAATAGTAAATTTCACCTGAGCTGATTTTTCATTAAGATTGGAAGGCTTTCAAGTGTTTTGAACTTGTCTGAATACAATAATGTTATATGATTGCTGAAGGAGTGCTGGCATTAATAATAAATTACAATACCTCACGGGTGCCAGACTGAAGAGGGATCATCTGAGAGGTGAGACGGGCCACAAGCCACACATGTCTACCATCTTTCCAAGGCAAAACTCCACTCTTGTGCACAAACACCCCTGCATGGACTGTCCCATTCTTAAGGGTCGTCTCAGGAACCGTGACACTCACCTTCCTTTAATCACAACAAAGTATACTAGATGAATTAGACATTAAATGCTATCTGATGAAGATATTCACATACTACAAAACTGGTCAAAACCACATTAAAGGATGCTTTTCAATTTTGTCAGTTTTCACCAGGTGGTTCTGAGCCATTGTACCTGCAGATAAAATAGAATTCTGAAATAGAAGTTTGCTTAAGTGTTCTTAAAGATAGTAGTGTTTCTTAACAACCTCAAGTACACTTTTAAAAAAGTGCACTCTATAATAATGCAGGTTTTATTTTAAAGTACATTTTAAATCATTGTTTTAAAAATCTTTTGTTGCACTTTACAGAAGTACACTTATTGATGTGTTGACTAAAATACTTAAGCACATAAATATAGCCTGTGTAATATATTTAAATGTACTGAAATTACAACTTCATCATTACAAATGTGTACAAAAGTGTGCAAATAGTGTATATTTAAATCCAAGTTTCAATTGAAATGGCATTAAAGTATATTTTATTTGACCATAAATGCTTGTCAGTACATACTTTAATGAGACATAAAAAAAATAATAATTATGAAATTTAAGTATAAAGATGTACTTAATTCCAAAAAGCGCTTTAAAGTTCAGCTAGTTAAAATTGCTTATTTCTCTGGATTTAAACATTCTTCGAAACATTTGGGATAATGTAAGTACACAAGTCAGCAAAATATATAACACTGTTATAGTGGTTTTTGGATATTTTATTTAAAAAATCTTACATATTGTGCCTTTAACATATTAAGTGTCCTATGACTACATAGTACATATGACAAGGCTATCATATCAAGAAATTAAATTATTGAGTTAATAAAAAAAAGTTTACTGAAATCTTTTGTTTTCTTCATGAATATATTGGCTGAACGAGGCATTCTGCATTTAGTGAACAAACCAATTCAAATCGACAAAACATTAGTTTTATTTAGTACAATTTTTAAAAAACGAGTTGAGAGAACTTAAAGGCACAATATGTACGATTTTTTTATTAAAATATCCAAAAACCACTATAACATTTTCGCTTCGACGGCTTTCAGCCTCACCCTGCTTCTTTCTACTAAGTTAATAAATCGTTAGCTCATCCATGAACATGATTTCTGCCCGAGTCCCGTCGGATTGCATCGGCTGTGGGGATGAAGACCACAACTCCCATGATTCCACACTCAGTCACAGCGTCATCAAACTACGCCTTTGTCTCTTTGTTTATTTTAAATACGCGCCCTCTAGCGGCGAAAATTACATATTGTACCTTTAAAACTTTGACCGCATCAAGTTGAAGTTACCTTGAAATTTTACGTTTTCTTAACAATTTATTTTATTTACAGAGGCTACTCTTTTTAAAATCATGCTAAAGTGTACTTCTTTTTTCACAAAGAACCACAAAAGGAGAGCTTGCCTTTCAAACTTGGTGTTAATGTCAAATTTGTCCACTTTGAACAGCAGGTTGTGTCCAGCTTCATCACTGGGGTGGGGTCCAGAGCAGAATATAATGAGCCGTTGAGAAATCACAAGCAATAACTAACCTTGTTATGAAGCAATGAGCTACTGACAAAGATAGCTAAATAAGATGACCTACTCCCATATTCTCACCTGAAGGCGAGGCTTGACAGTGAGGTAAGATGTAACGCAGCTGTCCCCTTTAGCGCCGTCACAGGGTTTGGTGTGAATGAAGCCGTATATGGCCCAGCACGTATGGAGGACATAGACCACCAACACCCCAAAAATCACTTTAGTGTAAGACATCTTGAACTGAGACCCATTTTTGGGTTTAGAATAACACGACGGGAACATCTTAACGCCACGCCAAGTTCGTTATTGTAAGTGGACAAATACAGAGCAAACGCTTTTAGCGTTACTCCGAGCTGGCAAAGCACAGCATCACTTGCCTCGTTCATTCATTCATTGTGCGCTCGCGGATGGGAAATGATGCAGTGTCTTTATTCCAGGCGCCGTGAAAGCATCGGTGCAGCAGCGAGTTGATGTTTCAGTGAATGACAGGAGGCCTAAAACCTTCAGGGCACAATGACTGTAGTGGAGACATTAATTTACATCTAATATCTCAAATATGCAACCGTAAGACCAGATGTACAAGCAGCATCTCAGAATACGGGATCTGTGGGCAGGTTTGAGTGGGATGTAGGCGGAGAGCGCCACCCTGCGGCCGCAATGACAATCTGCG